ACACGTTTTATCAGAAATAGGCATAGTTGTTATTTATAAAGCACATCCCCCACCCCCGAGCCATGGGGACTCAACTAGGACTACGCCTGGGATGTACAGATATTCTTGTCTCTTTAGACCCGGGAAGTACGGTATCTGTTACTGAACTGGGGATGTAATAATGGTCTCAGTGGCGGCGGCAGCGTCTGAAATCGGAGAGGCATGTGAGGAGGCAAGCTACAATTTGGGGGCGGGGGAAAGGTCCCCGACAAGAGCAAAGTGTGCGTGATCAAGTGTCGACTAAAATGTTTTGAAAGTTGTCCAGGGGTGGAGCTCTAAAAAAATATAACAATTTAGTAATTTCAGAGGCTTATTTAAATGATTTTAAATACAGATTGTTTACTAATATCAGGGAACATTGAAACTTTTATTTCTCCCCACAAATTGTTGTTTTTTTTTTCTCCTTCTCTGGGAAGGGGGAGGGTTGGGATGAAAATTTTCTGGGGGAATATTTCGCCCGAGCCGCCACTAAATGGTCTGCAAAGGGCCGGAATAATATGTAGTTGGCATTGCTCATATGTCTGCCAATATTAGCACTGTGCGGGGAATAGACACATTTATCAATACCCAGGAAATATCGACGCAATTTAATTAAATCGGCAGCACGAATTAGGCCTACTTTGTGTTTTACTATGTCACAATGTATGGTTAATCAAGAATCGATCCCAGGGAGGATATATAGGCTATGAGCGTGCGTATATCCTTATAACCTTTAGGCCTATTTTGTTATTTTCAAAATCACACTAAAGTGAAAACGTATTATTTTACCTATTACTATTACTTTTTAATTATTATTTTAACGAATGCAATGAAAAATCCCAAAATTTTTACTGAAGTGTAGTCTAATTGTTACGAAAGCCTATTTGAATCACTTAAGTATATAGGCCTATTAGTAGGCTAATCCGAAATTCAGATTAAAGTAATCCGAAATTTTGATTTAGTAATCCGAAATTTTGAATTACTAATTCGATATAAACACAGATGTGTATAAGAGACAGTATATATATATTTCGGATTACTAATTCGGAATTTCGGATTACTTTAATCTAAATTTTGTTTTGAATATGTGTGACACACAAACACAGGTGTTGCCCTACAAACACACGTTTGCGTATGTTTTTTAACTGTTGTTTTTATAATGGTAGTTGTTTGAATGATGGTAATTGACGTCTGCAGAAACGCGTTCAACCATGACATTTAAATGTTCCTACTACACTTACTACATATGTTACATTTCCTCGAGAGACTATTATTTTCAAATATTCAAGGCACACCACATAACGGCTAATGAACTTTAAAAAATTGTAAATAATAAAAAGGAAAAATTTATAGTATTTGTTGTTCAAATTACTACTTTATTATGTTATAAGTAATATAAAAAATTGTACTAATTATTATTGTTATCATTATCACATAATTATTATTATATTGTAATGTAATAGGTTTTATCTATTTAAATTATGTATATTAAAAATATGAAAAATTCAAAAAATATATACAGCTCTTTCAAATAAGATTGAAATAAATGTGGGTGTGACTCCCACGGAAGAGAAAAATTTTCAGTTCAGATTTCATTCTGTGAGTTATTAGTGGTTTTGTTTGTTATTTTTTTTAAATAATATATTTAAGTGTACAACAATTGGGTAAAGGAGATTGCATTAATGTAAAATATATTATAAATAAATAGATTCAGGATGACCAATATTATTTATCCGAAGTTAAGAATTGGATTCCATTAGGATTCAAGTAAACTATACACAAACAGATTCAAGATTCAAAAATATATTTATTTATAATACATTTTTATAACACATTTCATCAAATATCTACTCACTTCGGGACCGCTCATTCTATTGTCATTGTATGCAGATAAAGTTGTCGATTACTTCCTGGTTTTCACTTAGACCATCCAATCAATAAAACATGGTCTACACCGTGTTAACTGAACATGGACCATGTATACAAACACGATAAGAAAGTATAATACATACTCCAAGTATTGAAATACACGCCATCGTGTTGGGATTCAATATTTCGACATTAAATATGTCATCATCAGGAATGAAAAAATTATCCATATTAGCAAGCTTATATGCACTAGTACCAAAAGTGTTTAACCAATCAAAACATTACCTCTAGTAGGTGACATAGCAGTGATTTAAACAAAAGATCAAAGCATTCTTACTCTAATGATCAAAGATACCTACAAAAACAAAGAAAGCTCTTTTGAAGCTCTGAGCCCATTGTTAAGCCAAGGGTGTAGTCTACGTATAGCGAACGCTTCTTTAAACAATAGGATAGACCAGTTTCGGGAGCTGTCAATAATGTTAGTACTAGAAAATATTAAACCTAATTTATTACTTACATTACAGACGACATTATCATTTTCAAGCTGTCTCTTATACACATCTAGATGTGTATAAGAGACAGGGTGCGTCGTGTGCATGACGGCTTACGCAGAAACGATGAATTTGCCTATGTCTAGTTATTAAGCACCTATCTGTCTTACCAATATAATCACTATTGCAGCCTGGACATTTAAAATGATAGACAACAGAACTTCTGTACTCCTTAGGGGTTTGATCCTTAGTAGATATAAAATGAGAAACATTTTTATACTGCCATAAAGTTAAGAATTTTACCTCTTTAATTAAGTGTTTCTTTATCTTATTTAAACATCTACGTAAAATGAACTCACCTGGTTTTCCTAGATAAGGCAATCTAACCCAAATCTTAATCAAGCTATCATCAGTAGGCCTATGTATACATTTAGGTTCATTTAATTTCTTAAGTACATTGTTAACAACTTTTAAAGGGTACCCATTCCAAGACATAAACTTCCTGATGTTACTAAGCTCTGTTTGAAGTGTATCAGGAGTACACAATCTGTGGGCTCTAGAAACTAAACTACGAATCCAGGAGATCTTATGGTTCCATGGAGCAAAGCTATCATAATGGACATATTGACCTGTATGTGTAGTGTAGTCCTGTCTCTTATACACATCTAGATGTGTATATACTCATACTTCCTACACTGTTGTTAAATTGTAAATCCAGAAAGTGTACTGTGTCACTGTTTTCAAATGATTCAAAAGTAAAATTGATCTGTCTATGAAAAGCATTGTAGCTTAGAATTTGTGGGAAATCATTGGGCTTAGCTAATACTAGCGTGTCGTCAACAAAACGAGTATAAAACTTAATAGTACCTGATTCAATAAGTTTAGGAACAATAGACTCTTCTAGTTCAGTCATTAAAATATTAGCTAAAACTGGGCCAAGAGGCGAACCCATTGAGACACCATCAGTTTGTTTATAAAAATTATATACAAACACCATGCATTACATTCAACAATGACTACATATTCAATTGAACATGGAACATTTGCAATTAAATGCTGATGATATGGCTTGTATAGTGCGTTTATCAAATAAAATATACACAGAGGTTTCTATATTTAATTATCAGTCAACAAGAAAATTAACACTAAAAGATTTAATACACTACAAAAGTTATTATCCAGAGAAGCAGATTGACAACTGATGCAATTGTATGATCTAATTCAAGTCATTCTTTGTGAAAACTTATTAAAAAATAAACTTACAAAATACTCATAATATACATATTACCATGGATTTTCATAAATTCAATAAAATTATTATACAGAAAATAGGTATTAAATTCTTTAAAAAATATAAAATAAAATAAAATAGAATATAAAAGGAAAATACAATATAAAACAATAATAATTAATGCTTATCTAATAAAGATATAATAAATAACTAAATATCACATAATATACCATTATCATGTTACATATTATTAAATAATTTTATATTACATGTTATATTTCCTTCGATATAATTGTAATGCTACACCTATGTAATAACCTTTGACACAAAATACATTTAGATGATTTACTGTTTACAAAATTGTATAATAAATTATTGGGCATTGCTTAATATAATGCTTGCATTTATAAATGCATATATGTGCTACACTGTATAAGCACAGACAAATTTTGAAGTACAACAAAAAACTGTTGTATGCCCATATATAGTCATGATGTGCCTATTATGGTCATGATGTGATGTCATCATTACCATATATAGATATGTCACATGCAGGCTGGAAAGGGCTTAACTCAATTTTATTGACCTATGTGTAATGATAAATAGAAATAAACTTGATATGCAGGAATTAAAATCGAATAATGCTGATACAGCCAATTATGCAATATAAATTTAAGGATGTTTATATTATATATGGATAACGAACGTAAACATAAACAAACTATATAAAAACTTTTTGATAAATGTTTTTGCTTGTTAATAACATTAAGAACATTTTCTGTATTATATAATCATTTAAATTATTTTTTAAAAACAGAAATAAATGATGTATTTAAAAAATGGAGTGGGCAATTAGTGTGCAACACAATAATGAATGTCAGGTCTCCCTCCAATTAAAGACTACTTTTGGGACCGGGGTTTCCATGGCCTTTAGCAACTTTTGTCTCTAATTAGAAAAATAAAATACTGTAACGGACATTTGTTAATTTGGGATCACAGAAAAGTGGTTTTTAATTGGAGGTGGTCTTTAATTAGAGGGAGACCTGCATAAGAATATTTCCACTTAAAGACCATTGTTGGGATCAGGGTTGCCACTGTCTTCAGCAGCTTTGGTCTCCAATAATATAGATAATAATAAAGATACTGTAACAGACATTTGCTAATTAGGGACCACAGAATTAGAGTTGAACTTTAAATAGAGGGAGTCCTGTATAAGAACCTGGTTAAGGAGACTATAGTACTGGATAACATCAACATCATCCTAGCAACAGACACCAACACCTTTCATAATCACCACCACTACCAATAGGCCAAACAAAAATTCCTGTGCTGGGGCCACATTTTGGGTAAATCCAAAAAAAGGGTAGGTTGGTAGGAAAAAGTTTGTTTTAACCAATAGAATAGTGTGTTTACTTCTTATTATTAAGCAGCTAACTTCAATTTGAAGGCTCTGCCCCTCCAGCTCACTGAGTTTTGTATCTGTGTATCAGGCTGTGTGGTATTCTTTTTTTAAAATCTAAATAAATACAAATGAAAGAACTGAAAAATAAAATAATGAAATCAACACCACCATAACCACCACCATCATCATCACTATTATCAGCAACAGTACAAACAAAACCCCAAATCACATACATCCAATACAGTGTATCTAAATAAATACAATTTGTCATATTACTGTTATATGTCTTGCATTTTACTGAACAATATACAACTGTGCATATATAAATCCCATGTTTTATCATTTTACTTGATAGGTTACTTAAGACAGTGATAATGGGCCTTTCCAGGGCGTCAATCAAACTGACCAATGAGAAAGGTCCACTGAATTTTGGTGCTCTGGATTTTGTACACATCTTGATGGTATTGGCTACCTATAAAACTTGATGTGTCGTACGGCAGTTGTAAGACCATCGGCCGATGAATCCAACTCCACTCTCTGTGGATGGCTAGAAGAAGCGATGCCGTCGTCTGCTGATTGTCGTTGGCAGTTTGAACGGATAGTCATTAAAAACAATCCCTTGCGTGCACGTCATGGCGTTGAGTTCTCCGTAGAATCGCATAAACTGACGATTGTTGGGGGAAGTGAATAACAAGCTCTAAACATGTGTTATAAAGCAAGCATTGCCCTGTCTATATCATTTTACCCTACATCAGTCATTCATCAAGTGGGTAAAACCACAGCATGGAATGGCAGTAAACTAAGGGAGTATACATCAACCAATGGGGTGTGAAGCCACAGCACAGAATGGCACTATCTTTCGGAGGATTTAATTGCTTTTTCCTTTCCTTGTTTTCTTCTGGAATCAAAGCGGGCGTTTCACTATGGAATTGCATGTCAAAGAAATCAAGAGAATTGTGCTGCTTTGAGGCGTCATTGCTTGCTTTCGTCTCGGAGAGCTTGATCCACATATTTCGGTTACCATCCACCGTGTTTAAAAGAACTTGTGCTTCAGGAAATATGTCGGCAAGAATCCTACAAACATTTGCAAAAAACAAATAAAAATTTCTTTTGTACTCTGTACGAAAAAAGATGGTTTTGCAGATAGTTTTCAAAAGAACTGCTGTTGTGTATTATATGCCTTATTTTATAATAATAATAATAAATAATAATAATAACATAATAAAAATAATAATAGCAATAAGTTCAATAACAATAAAACTAATAGTAATAATAATAATAATGATAAAAATGTTAACAGTAATAAGAAACCCCCCCCCACAAAAAAATGATAATAATAATAATAATAATAATAATAATAATAATAATAATGATGATGGTGATAATAATAGTAATTAAAGGTGTGTAGTAATAATAATAATGATGATGATGGTGATAATAATAGTAATTAAAGGTGTGTAGTAATAATGATGATGATGGTGATAATAATAGTAATTAAAGGTGTGTAGTAATAATAATAATGATGATGATGGTGATAATAATAGTAATTAAAGGTGTGTAGTAATAATAATAATGATGATGATGGTGATAATAATAGTACTTAAAGGTGTGTAGTAATAATAATAATGATGATGATGGTGATAATAATAGTAATTAAAGGTGTGTAGTAATAATAATAATGATGATGATGATGATAATAATAGTAATTAAAGGTGTGTAGTAATAATAATAATGATGATGATGGTGATAATAATAGTAATTAAAGGTGTGTAGTAATAATAATAATGATGATGATGGTGATAATAATAGTAATTAAAGGTGTGTAGTAATAATAGCCTCGTGTACTACACATTATCCCTGGTCACTGGATTAAACACCCTTTTTAATATACATAATAATAACAACTTTATTTAACCACGATAAACATCACCTCAGTAGTGTTTTTCATCAATGCCGTAACAGACATAATAATTAAACTTAATTTTAAACAAAGAATAATATTAATTACAGAAAATACAAGGAAACATAAAAACCAAATTAGGAAACAAAAATTAAAACATCAAAATACAAAATACGAAAAATTATTGTAATACACAAAAATGTGCTAATCTAAGATAATATATTGAGTTGCTTATTAAATGTAGGCTACTGAATATATCCTTTCAAAAACAAAATATAGCTTAATTAGATTTTAGCATGTATCTATAAAAATATTTATTTGTCTTTTAATTTACATTTAAAGTTAGAAAGAGTAGTTGAAGTTTTGAGGTCATCACTTAGTTCATTCCATAATTTGCACCTCTGTAGGAAAGACAACGTTTTTTTTATAATCTGTTATAATCTGGTTTAGGAAGTATTAGTTGGTTTTTAGATCGGGTGTTATAAGAACTTTCTTTAATATTGAATCTACAATTTAGGTAAGCTGGTGCCAAATTATTGATAATTTTGAACATAGTGATGGCTTCACTTTGAAACAGATGCTTATCAAGATTATCTCTGTGCAAGGCTTGACTACTAGAATCTCTTCTGTTTTTCGTATAACTTTGGCGGTTGTTTTGCATAGTTTTAAGTCTTTTACCTTGGGATTGGTTTGAGCGACAAACACAAGCTCTCTGGGGAGTATTCCATAACGTTGCAGCAGCGTTTTAACCTCTCTTTGGTTAATGAACACAATGTAATCTATTGTTTATATCTGCATTTCACATAATCAGTTTACTCATAAAACTATTTTCCCAGCACGTTATTGCTCCTTTATTACGACGAAAATGATTTGGAGTATAATAAAGTCAGGTGCTTATACAATCAACGGAAATTTTAAAGTGTAAAAGATGACAAGGCTGTCTATTATGCCTGAATCGATCACTAGACTTGCGGTTCTTAACATCTTTTTCTTTCTTTTGCAAAATGGCACACTGTCACTCTATCTTTATGGTAACTTTTAGACTACCAGTTTATTCCATGAATCTTATCATTAAATAGATAGAGGTGGATATGGCAGCTGTACAATGTATTTTCTGAGGGGAGGGGCAAAACTGGGGGATTGATTTGGTAGACGTGAGTAGGGGAGGTTTGTGAGGGGTTATCTATTAAAACAGAAAAAAAATTAAAAGCAAAAAAAAGTAAAATAAATAAATAAATAATTAAAAAGTAAAAAAAAAATGTTTTGTTTAAAAAAAGTAACATATTAACTAAACAATTATAATAGTAAATACTTATAATAAATATGAAAATATTAACTAAATAAATATAATAAATACTAAAAATAAAAAAGTATCAACTTACTGATATACAGGTCTTGCGATGTGATTCAGAAAGTTAAGTTGCAATTCAGGAATAAACGCCTTCTCTCTGTCGTATATCTCCACTGGAGGGATGCCAATGGCTTTCTCCAGGTCACCTTGCGTGAAGAACTCCTGGTAGGTTAGTTCCTGTCAGAAAAACTCAAACACGTGACAAATTTGTGTGAAATGTGCCCAAATATTGGCATTTCATTCATTTGTCACATTATATTTGAATATGGACAGAAAATTCAAAAAATTTGAAAAAAAAAATTATTATTAACAGGTTTGTTATTCCATCAAGTTACCTGACATAGAACGATGGATGGCAATAAAATTAGTATATCAAAATATTTTGTTACAATTATGTAAGCATTAATCTATATTTTTACACCAAAACATAATGGTCCAGGCTACAATTCAAAACTTTAGGGGGGGGGGAGGGTCCCAATTCTTCCGAAACTTGTGTGAATCTGACGGTAATCGGGACATCCTCCCACAAGCAAGCAAGAATTTCCAGAAAAAAAACACATCTCCTGCAAATTCATAATATTTAGGTTTTCACTGCTTCACCATCAGTTGTCTCACGCACGGAAGTCAGTGCCCATGGGTATCAGTATGTGCAGAAAATAAATTTAAACGTGTTATGAAAGCTCATTAACAGATCGGTGGTGGATTCAAGGGGAGAGAATCGGCTGCCCCCCCCCCACCCCCTAACTTTTTCAAAATTTTTTTTTTTTAAATGAGGGGGCGGGGAGCAAAAAAACAATTATATTCAAATTTAAGTGTGAGAGTGCCATTTGCACCCATCGTGAGGTGCCATAATCATAAATTTTCTTACCTCAGCTCTAGTCCCTCCATCTGTGAGATTCCTCCCTGGGCTTCTTTTCTACTTCAAATTCCTGAATCTGCCACTGAGGATTTCATGGAATTCACTACTTTCAACTTGGACCACAGGGCAGGTTCCCTCTTAACTCTGTGATAGGTTCGTATAGCAATCTTCTTTGTTGTCTTCCATCCCTTCATCTGATCTGATCCGACTTGTCATAAGTAAACACAGCAACAGTTTCCTACGTTTTGCATCTCCTTTTTATATCCCTCTGTAAAAAATAAAAACAAAAATATATATATATATATAAAAAACAATTTTAAAAAGATTACGGAAACAAAATCAACCAAAAAACATTACTAGGATCATCTAAAATATGTGTAGCTTTTACCATCTCCATAGTTATTATTGCTTTTTATATTTTTTTCTTTGTAGCTTTCTTTTAAATTTATTTGCTTTATATTTTTGACATTTTGTATTAAAATTTCTATATACCTGAAAGCTCTGTCCATGATTATATGCCCATATATAGCAACTATATGGTCATGGTGTGATGTCATCATGACCATGTATAGTCATGATGTGCCTATATATGGTCATGGTGTGATGTCATCATGACCATATATTAGTCATGATGTGCCTATATATGGTTATGGTGTGATGTCATCATGACCATATATTAGTCATGATGTGCCTATCATCATGACCATATATTAGTCATGATGTGCCTATATATGGTCATGGTGTGATGTCATCATGACCATATATTAGTCATGATGTGCCTATATATGGTCATGGTGTGATGTCATCATGACCATATATTAGTCATGATGTGCCTATATATGGTCATGGTGTGATGTCATCATGACCATATATATAGTCATGATGTGCCTATATATGGTCATGGTGTGATGTCATCATGACCATATATATAGTCAAGTGCCTATATATGGTCATGGTGTGATGTCATCATGACCATATATATAGTCATGATGTGCCTATATATGGTCATGATGTGATGTCATCATGTCCATATATAGTCATTATATGGTTATATATGGTCATGATGTGACTCATCATGACTATATTAGGATTGCAATATACTGAATATACTAAATTCCAGGATTTTTATCCAGGAATTTATTTATTTATGGTGGCTAGGGTCACCTATCCTTCCAAGTTTTCCACCCAGTCACCCAGTTCAATTTGGCCCTCCACTACCCTAACCCAATTTTCCATCCTTAAAATCCACATTTATTATTTAGTTTTTACCACTGTTATCACACACCTACCCATAAAATGCCTATAAAATTCGTTTTTTAACACCTACTCAAACTTGCACAGAAAGCAGTGGCGTAGCTAGAGGTTATGGCACACGGGGAAAGAGTAGAAAATTGCACCCCCCTTTCCCCCACCCAATAATAATTATAATATTTTGAAATTAATTGATATTGGTTGTATAGACTTTAAGCATATTCTTACTGTATGTCCATATCATGCACTGTCTAAATAACATTTTTTAAACCCGAATAACTATTATTATTCTAGCTCTTGTATGTTCTTTCTTACCAGGGATGACGCCAAGATTTTCCCAAGGAGGTTCCGAGGTTCGGGTGTGGGGGCGCGATGCTTCGACGAGGGGGAAGGGTGATGCCCTGGACGAACGGGAGGGGGGGGGGGGGGTGGGGGCGCAGCTATCCCTGAAAGGGGCCCTGGCGCCATACCTGTTTCTTACTATTGAAACTGCATTACAATGTTCAGAACTTTGTATACAACTTTACCATTATCCTAATTTGTAAGGCTGTTGTATTTATTGCATACATCTTAGTATTCTTATCTCTAACTTTATCTTATAGTAGAGTCTTGTAAGGTTCTGAATTTTTAACATTGTTTAATCTTGCAACTGAATTTTGTGTGCTTTTGCATCAGCAAATAAGTTAATAACATGATCAAAATCAGCACGCTCAATACTAAGTAGTGCCAAAGCAGATAGTCTCGCTTTTCCCATCCTGGCTCTGAGATATGGCAGGATGAGCTATTAGTCATGTAGTCATTACAGAATAGGATGAAAAACAAGAGAAAACGGTTGAAATGGACTGAAAAGAAATAACAATCTAGACACTTGCCAATAAAAACACCTACATTCAGATTCTTATTATTAACTGGAAAATATTCATGCCTGACTAAATACACCAATTTCGTTGTGTTTTTCTAAAAAGTGCTTATTTTTTTACTCTCATTCTCCCATTTCAGCACCCCCTAAAATACACCACACACCAACTGAAAGCTTAAAGCATTAGGGGTTTTTCACAATTCTAAACATGTTCATAAGTGTACAAACATTTAGAAACATTTACATACTTTTATAGATGCATAAAATAGTGATTCAAAATAACCAGTGATACTTAAAAAATAGATTTCTATGACCAATGATAATGCAACCATCTGGATGTAAGACATTTGTAGTAATTTAGTTGACAACACCAAAACAATGGGGAATGATTTTGAATCAACATATTTATGTACGGGTTGGGGGGGGTGAGGGGGTGGGGTACTGAATGAATACCTTGAGCAATTGTCTAATCTTTGATGATGCGTGGATAATGAGTGAGGTCGGTGACCAGTATAATATCCTGCATTAAATCCAGTACCTCCTAATTATCCTAAAATCATTCAGAAAAATTATTAAATTACAACAGTTAATTTCTTTGATATCAAAAAATGAGTACCGTACTCGCGCGAATAAGCCCCCCGTTTGAATAAGCGCACTTCTCGAATAAACGCAAACATTTTCTTAAGCGCCCCGTTTAAATAAACGCCCCCCCCCCCCCATCAATCCTGGGGCTGCGGATGTTGGCATGATTTGAGGTGTGGAGTGGAATCACATTCCTGTAGTCAATATCAAAATGAGGATATTTATCTTTGGACAGATGAGAGCTCCATGGACAGACAGTATGTTTCCAACTTTCATCTTTTTACATTTGTCTATAGCCTAGTCCTACTTCTTTTCCGACAACTTGCACCTTTAACACATTCTCATCTGAGTTTTCAAGAAAACATGCAATGATCATGCCATCCTGCTAATCTCAATCGGCCGAATATGGCCAACAAGCTAACCACCACCACTAATTTGATCTGCTATTCTGCTGTTATGTAGGCCTAATACTGTACTCACAACATTCTTGTCATGACAAGCCATATGCTCTCTTGACGATTATCTTTTCTGCTGCACCACCATTCGTAATTTGCGGTTTCCTTATATAATCGTTTTTTCATTCAAAATGTGCCTCTTGAATTTAAATTTGAATTTAAGTTCTCATAAGAACCCCTTGATTTTCATCCATTTCCATAAGCGCCCCCTCAATTTCAACTCTGTTTTCATAAGCGCCCCGTTCGAATAAGCGCCCCTTTTGAATAAGCGCCCCTTAAAAAGTGCAAAAAATATTTTAAGCGCCCAGGCGCTTATTCGCGCGAGTACGGTACACTAGTAATTTTTAATTCAATTTTTTATCTGTTTAGAATGTTTGTCATACAGCCAACTAGGTAGGGGACTGGAATTGAGCCAAGGCAGAGGGCGCATTGTTGACCCTTTGAAACCTAGCACTGTTTTGCCACTGCATGTTATTGTGAAATCGTCATACTTTTTGTTTTATCATTTGATGTAAAGCGCATAGAGGCACTGAACAATATGCGCTATATAAATGTAAATTGCTAAGCAATTAGTAGAGCTCTGCATAGTACAATATAGGAAGATTAATATACAAAAATTTGATTTAATGCTTGAAAAAAATCTCTGAGGGCTGCATTAAATCTAACCAAGAATACACTATTTTTTTTTTATAAGAACCAGTAAAATTTTTCCCAGGCTCAGTGTTCTTATTTTTTGACAGATTTCAGGTTCAAAATGTTCTTATTTTGTTCTTATTGTACACACTTTTCAAACATAGAAAATTACGATTGTACAGCAAATATACACTGTACTGGCAGGTGTAAGTGGCCCTGCAAAAAATGGCCCCTGAATGAAAGGCCAGCACAAAATGGCCCCCAAATGGGAGGTAGGTTCACCTAAACTGTACCCTACTGTATTATAGAGGGTATTACATAGTCACACCTACTGCACATAAGGTACAGATATAATTTTTTGGTTTTTCTAGTTTGACATTCTACCTCAGCCTCAATTTGTTCTTATTTTGTTCTTAATTTTTAAGCAATTTTAGCCTCAGTGTTCTTATAAAATGTGTTCTTATAAAAAAAAAATGTAATAATTTTCCTCTTGTGTACGATGCATGCTCTACTAACTGCTTTATAAGTCATTCGCCATCTTTTTAATGTTAGTACTGATAACCAATAGCAGTCATCATAATGCTATAGTGATATGATCAGTACGCTGTGCGCATATTTACATTTAGCTGTGTGTGTGCTTATTTGTGTTCCTGCAGTACGCGTTAACTACACATCAGCAGTACAGTACGGATACAGGGCCTCCTACCTGGCCGTAGGCATACATCTAATTTCGTTCTTCGAGTCTTTAAAAATAGGTCTAGAATATTCCTATTAAACGTTCAGTTTGCTTAGTTTTTTTTAGATTTCATTGATTCAAGAAACTGCTTAATTGTTCATACTTAATATTGAATTAATATCAAATTTAAAGTAACTTTCTTTGGGTTCTAATGAACCTTGTTTCATGAAAGTAATTTTCAATTACAATTTCAATTTTAAACACACTACACGATATCTTTGCAGTGATGAAAAAAAATGAAGATTTTTTTTTCACACGGACTTAAAATAAATCAAGCCATGCATCCACTAATTGAAAAATCAGTGGACTGTGGGGGATACGCAAATAACATTGGGAGTTGCAGTGATGAAGTCACGACTGACTTATAATATCATTTATATTATATTTATGTGAACAATCTCAAAGAACAACACTGTGCTTTTTGGCCTCCATGGATGCACAGAGTTAAAGTTGAACAAAGTTCATTACTGATGCAATGCTAAGACTCATTACATTATGCGGTTTAGTGTTCTTAGAACTCCAGAACTGTAAACTGTCAGTATACCATAGAAATCCAGGACTCTGTAATTATAGAAGAGAGTCCCTTAACCACCCAGAGGTGACGGAACTAGGAACTAGGTGCTGTGTTATGGAGTGTAATGTGTGACCGGAAATGGTCT